TTAAGTCAGCAACTACAATTACTCTTCTTCAAGTCTTCGTCTGATTGGTCGAGTTTGTCCCATCTGATGACATCACGCGCGCTGACTTTCCGTGACAGTTTCCTGGATCTGCAGTCGTTCATTTTCTTTGCCAGCGCCAGAAAAGCCTGGAACAAAATACAACTCCAACACTTAAAATTCTGGAATACCAAGTTTCTAAAAACAGTATTAGCAATTTACCAGATACCTTTGACCCAGTGTTGACATCACACTTCAAAGAAGCCACGTGACAAGCCTCACTGGGTCAACCTACTGAAGAAGACCAGAGTAACTGGTCTAAAGCTCTAGGTGAAAGAACTTAATTGTGTTGGATCTAAAATTTAACTTGAAACAATTTAAATTCGTAATTGTTTAGCTGTAAGTTCAACTGAATTGATTCAAATAAACCTAATCTCATTAACATTTTTGAAGATGTGTAATGCACATACAGGGGGATAAAACCTGGTTCACAGAATGCCATCCTATTTCTTACTGTATTGCTGTAAAACTTTTCATATTTTACCTCCTCCACATTGATATTTTCCTTGGCACTGGCTTCTATCAGCTCCAAGTCAAAGCTATCTGCAAGCTGGTCAAAATAAAAAGGATATAAACAAAAAAGTATAAGATAATAAAATGAACAATAAACAGCAGAGATTTCTAACAATGTAACATGTCTAACAAGTAGTTGTCACATGTTGACATATACTGCATGATGAATGAAGTTCAACAATAATATTGAGAAACATAATAGCTGTGATATAGTGCTCAAATAGTCCTTTTACTATGCCTGACTTTAAAACCTGCAAAGACTTTACCTTATAACTCTGCATTTCAAGCATAAAGTGTAGTGCTAGTCAAAACTGAATTCCCTAGGGAATGGCTGCACTTTTGCATAGTGGAATCTTTAGAATATTTTCAAGCAAGCCCAGAAAGGCTACGCCCCTGAGGCGCCACCAAAAACTAGTTTTTCCTACCTTCTGTGCCCTTTCCAGCTCCACAACTCTGTTCTCCATGTCACATTTGTTGCCTACAAGTAACAACTGTACATCTGTGGATGCATTCTGGGGAAAGGAATTATAGTTAGTGTCAACCTGAATGTAGGACTTATACTAGCATGAAAGTTCATCTGAGTTGAGTTAATTTCTTTTTGAGTTGGAGAACAGTTTAACTTTCTTCGTAAATTTAGGATTTTTTTACAATTTCATGTCATCTTACTACTAATACACAATGTAGATTTGTACACTTCATCACCTTTCTTTTAGAAGACATCAAGGAGAATTACAATGCTAATTAACTAAGCCTAGCTCATTAGAATGACATAATTAGTCTATATGTAGTCAAACCTCCTATCAAATCTGACCTGTTCAATATTTCTCAGCCATTTTGCCAGGTTGATGAAAGAATGCTCCCCAGTTATGTCATACATCAGTAGGATACCCTGCAATGTAAAACAAGAAAAAATAAGACATGGTACATTCAAATGCCATATATGATATAAGAACAAGTGGTTAACTATTATTTGTATCTGTATAGCCGGTATAACCTTGGTTGGTAACTCTGGTACATGAAGGCATGGCTATTTCTTGTTCTCTTCTGGGGTGGTATTAGGTACTTAGTAGTTGGGACGTCCACCAGTTTATCAGTCATTTTGTACATCATGCATAGTCTGGACATTTTTCTTCTGTCCATTGTCTGTGAGCTACATGTACAACAAGAATTCAGAGATTTTATACCTCCATGATAAGTCTTATTATGCACACCCTTGAATTTTAGGATTTCCTCATTGATTATACAAATTAAGTCCTCATTTGCATAATTTACATCTGACTGTGTACATTTTTTGTCTACACTACCTACCTGCCCAAAATCATAAAAATCTGTAGATTCTTTCTTGACTTATTGAAAGATTTTCTAGTCTCGAGGTCCAAATTTGAGCTTGACCTTTGTCTTCCCAAGACCTACCCACATACCAAATATCATAGCAATTCATAAAGGCCTTCTTATATATAACTCATGCTGACCAAATATGTGGAAATGCAAAGACACACAGGGAGTCACAGACAGACAGACCAAAAACAATACTTCCATTATGAACTTTTAGTACTTAGACTTACGGGTACTCACCGCCACCCTGCTTTCGGTGACGGACAGGGAGTGGCGCCCCTGCCCATTGAGGAGCTGCAGACCACAACATACACACACAGAACTTGTACGAGCGACCACCCCATCCAATACCCCCCCCCCCACCGTGTTGGACCCCTCAAACAATTGAGATAACTTGCACAAACTGGGAAGAAGAAGACTTACAGTGGCCCCCCTGTAGTAGGCTGTAGTTAGTGTACGGTATCTTTCCTGTCCTGCTGTGTCCCTGAAATACAGACATGAATTAAAATATATAAATTAGAGCAAAGTATATACAGACCCTGTATATTCAATGTTTAAGATTTAGAATTCTTAAATTAAAACAAAATCTCATTTACGGGTACTCACCGCCACCGTTTTCAGTGGCGGACAGGGAGTGGCGCCCCTGCCCATTGAGGAGCTGAATTAACTGGGAAGAGCAAGAGAAATGGAAACTTACCATATCTGCAACTTGTATGGTTCCCCGTCTAATTTGATCATTTTCTCCTTAAAATCTATACCTGAAACACAATACGGTAAATGACCATCACAATCTAATATTGCTTAAAAAAAGGCAGATATTAATACAGAATTGCATATATGTTTACCCTAATCTGCTATTTTTTTATAGGATTTGAATGGGTTAAATTATATCTAACTTGTAATGTTACATGGTCCAGTGCAGATTATACATACTATTAGCTACAGGTTAACACCACCAGTTAACTTTCAAATACCACTAGTATACGATTCCAGACAGTTACCACTATTGAATTTTCTCATAAATTATGCAAATCACATCTTCATTTACATAATCAATATCTACCTATTTATATTTCAATTAAATATGTCATAAGATTGAATCAGTGAAATTGAATAGTCCTATCTTGGAATTTGCATTTACTGGTAATAAGCCCTAGGCCTAATATAATGTGGTCTAAAAAACAGGGCAAACCCACAATGTTATCAGTGACATCAAACAGTGACATTCCTCTAACAATGGTTCGTTACCATGTTAAGGTTTAAGAATTTCCAACCTTGTCCACATATTTGTTTTCTACCAATTAAAATTGCCATTTATCAATATCTATTATAATTCTTGTGAGAGAAAATTTTCAAGATTGTGTGCAATATTCCCTTAGGAGAAGGTACCTATTATAATTATGACTTGGGAGGGGGGTTTAGGGGAACAAAGAAGTGTTAATAATTAAGTGCATACCATGACTTGCTTGTACTGCCTTGAGGCACTGCAATGTGTTTTTCTTCATACATAATCTACTGTGACAGTAGAGGGTGCGTTTAGAAAGAAGCTGCAAATTTGAGCAAAAGAAATTCCACTTTTTTTACTGTATTTATAAGCAACATTATTTAAACTCTCGACTTTCTACCAAATTGTTTAGTCACCACAATAACTGCTTTGAGTAAACACTGAACAGAAGGGCGACTAAGGCCTAGGAAAAAATGTTGTGTTTCCTGTTTCAGTCCTGAAAAAATTTAAGGGTCAGTAGGGATTATCTTGTTTGATACAAGTGTAATACACTTTGGCCATCTTTAGTGAACCAACTTATACAATCAAACTTTCAAAGTAAACTTGCATGACGACATTTATATTTTCAATTTCAATGTTGAAAAGGCATTGGCCAATGACTTTAAAGTATTACTGCTAGAAATTTGAATGTTGAAAGATATTAAAACTTGTAACGTTATAGACTAAAATTGATTTCTAATGCATATATACATAAATGACAGGAGTTATAGGCTGCAAACATGTGATTATCAACTGTTTATTTTATGTTGTACTTTTAGTTTTTTGTACATAGATTTTTCTGCTATTTTTGGCAACTGATCACCTGTGATAATGAATTAAATAAGAAACTAACATATTCTAATTCCGCTTGTTGAGGAACTGGCTGTTTGTAATTTAAAGTGGTTCTGCCTTCTGTGTTTGATTTCGGTAAACAAACTCAGATAAACAAAACGTTAGACGAATTATTTTACAGCGGCAATCATGTAATTTCAAGCAACATTTAACATTTGAACAGACCAATGTCAGACCATCTGTCAACTACTTGAGACTTCCGTGATTATTTCCTGATCTTTGTTGAACACTGAACAAACTGGCATCACCGTAACATTGACATAACATAAAGAAATCTGTTTACATTTTTCAGATAAGTACTAGTACTTAGTCTGTAACGTTATGTAAACACTAACAGATCGTATACTAGTGTTGGAATTTGGGGTAATTTCCACCAAATGTAAGCATTTTATACTCACCGATGGTTGAAATATAGCTTTCTAGAAATCCTCCCCCGCAGAATCGGTGTATAAAACATGTTTTTCCGACGTCGATGTCGCCTAAAACAAGGATTTTGAAGATCGTGGGTTCGTCTGCTGCTGCGGCGGCCATGTTTGTTTTGTGGGCGATGACGAAACCAGCAGACGAAACCATTATCGTAACGGGGGGGGACAGAAAAGCAGCGCCATGCTAAACCGTATTGTTCACAGCGTCACCTATTGGTTATGTAGAGTAATGCAAGGATGCATATGGCAGCAACATTTTCGTACAACTGTCGTAGAGTGACTAGATATTTTTACCTCCATGAAAAATGGAGGTATTGTTTTTGGTGTGTCTGTGTGTGTGTCTGTGTTTCCACGCATTTGTAGTCAGCATAACTTCAAAACGCCTAAATGGATTGTGATGATATTTGGTATGTTGGTAGGATCTACAAATGTAGGGAGACAATGGTCAAAGATGGGCCTTCTGGTGGCTGACCTTGGTACTGCAGCAGACCTTCGGGCAGAATACACAAGTATGTGTCCCAGTGAGGTTGCATGTTTCATACAAACGACATCAACATACTAGTATACGATTTATGGATGACGAAGGATAGTGACCAAACTGAAATGATATCAAACACACACCCATGCGATACACAGATATTTATTTATCAGACTCTCAATTTTCAATATACAAGCTTTGTATCATCATAATTCCTCATAAAAGATATGTTTGAAATATACAATGGTATTCTTTTGAAATTCAAATCTTTACATACGTTGCGCTAAATACAATATATCTTACGGAATAATTCAGAATTCCATATATAATTGTTTCCTTAACATCCAAAGTTGATAAACAATCATTGCGTAAAATACATTTAGAGGATGCTTTTAAACTACATAATAGTTTTCTTTTAAGATTCATTTCTTTGCATTCGTTGTACAGCAAACATAATGCTGTAGAGAATACTTAAAAGTTGTATAAAATTCCTTTAACTTTTTTTTACATTCATTTGTCAATTTGACAAATGCCTACGTGGCATGGAATCTACTCATGGAGTTTGTTAGTCATTTGTTGCAGATAAAAGATAGCTTAGCCTGGATCCTAGACTGTTGCCAGGACCTACACAGGCCAGTTCTTCGGCAGCAGGGCCAATATGGCCCGAGAAACGTGCTTCAACGTCCCAAAGATGGCAAGATTGATTTTAAGCGAAGCAAGTAACAAGAAATGTACCCTTTGACATCTCAGTGGTATCATAAACGGCACAGCTAAACATTGAAATTTACCTGACTTTTGCAAACAGGTTTAGGGTGGGAAAAGTCGTATTCTTGCCACAGTCAACATGTTTTAAAGCTGGCATAAACGAGTAGCCTGCAGTGGGTGCCATCCTATTTGTATGCCGGGGCTCCCGTACTAGCTAGTTGTTAGGAAAGCGAGTATAGGAGCCCCGGCATACAAATGGGATGGTACCCAGGCTAAAAAAAACGAGGTATGTCACAGCTAATACTGACATAGATCCTGTCGGGAATTCTGAAGGCATATTTTAGATGCTTTCTTCAAGAATGTCTCCAGTCGTCCTCCTGATAGCGAGGACCTCGAAGGCCGGCGGGCTCAGGGTGATGCCGAGCTTCCCCTTGCTTGTGTCCGGTGCAGGGGCGCCCTCTGGCAGCTGGAAGCTGAAGTGCGTCATCATGGTGGTGAAGAAGATCAGCAACTCGTTCCTGGCCATCTGCTCTCCGATACAAATCCGGCGCCCTGGGAAAACATGAGACAAATTACAGCTTAGAAAACTTACATTTCAAAACAAAAATGCATAATGTTTACCTTGATATATATGGTCTGATGTGTTCATTCTTAGTCAAACACATTCATACATATGGTGATAGGAAGCTTAATACCTCTGCTATAGAATTGCAATATGATGTAACCCAACACTAGTTACCATGGTGACAGACGTCTGGTTCAGGCCATTGACCTTATTTGTTTGGAGAAGAAGAAACAGGGCAAAAACAATATGTTTTTCTTTGGTAAACATAATTAGACGGTATTCTTAACTCCATAACAGTTTTTTCGTAGACAAAAAAAACACTGTATTGGTTTTGCTGGCGTCCATGGGTGCCGCCATGTTGGATTCTGACGTCATGGCAATTACCATGAAGACGACATAAAATGGGGCGACAAACAGACAAAACATACCTGCAGAAAGGGGTTAAATGCATCCATCTTCTGGACCTTCCCATCATCCCCCAGGAACCTGTTGGGATTGAAGACTTCCGGTTCCGGAAAGTACTTGGGGTCCATGTGTGCGGAATAGATGTTCATACAGACCTAAAGGGGTAAAAAAAACATGAAAAATTATCATTATAGTCATTACTATCATCATTATCATCATTATTATTATAAGGAATTTTAAAGATTTTACCGGATGCTGACGCTGAAAAAGGAGACATGAGTAATATAAAACCTTACAAACGTCTATAGAACTTTGTCCAGGAAAAAGCAGGGTTGCTTTTTAAATTTTTTTCCGTTGCCTCAAATGTTAAACTTGAAACCAGTACAAACCTGGGTGCCTTTGGGGATGCTGTAGCCTCTCAGCTCGACGTCGACTGTAGTCATCCTTGGAACCGCTAGGGGCGCCACGTTACAGATCCGCTGAATCTCCTTGATCGTTGCTTCCGTGAAGGGAAGTTTCGAGACGTCGGCTAGGGTGGGAGCCTTGCCTTTCCCGACAGCCGCCTCCAGTTCGTCCTGCACCTTCCGCTGGATTTCCGGGTTCAGGGACATGTAGAGAGCGGCCCAGTGGAGCGTGGTGGCGGTGGTCTCCATCCCTGCAGTCAGCAGATCGGCCACCATCGGGAGTAGATGGGACGAGTCGGCCACATCTTTCTCTTGTAACGCGTCGAAGTAGGCGTCCACAAGGTCCCTGAAAAGAATGAGTGCACAAAACCGTTAGCAGCTTGAAAAACACAAAACAAAATGACCTTAAGCCTGTATGAACTTCCTATTTTTTCGTAATTTCAAAATTTAAGATATACACACATGCATTGCAACAAACAGTTTATAAAATGATGGCCTTTTTTCCTTAGTCAATCTAGGCCCCAATCCTGTTTGCTAGAGTCACATTTCCAAACTGATAGCCAAACGGGTAAGCCCACCTGTTCTGCCGGCCGAACTGAAAGTGCAAAAAAATGATACTAACTGTAGAATATCCGGCGGGGCACCGGTTTGGAAATGTGACTGAACTACACAGGCTTGGCGAATGCCTTCTTTTACACGAATGTTCCAACAAACCTCGGTTTCCCGGGAACTCGGCTGCCCTGGTGTTGCTCAATCTTCTCACGAATCAGTTTCTTAAAGTCCGACATGTTGTCCATGACCGCCTGCCCCAAGCTCTTCACGAAGGGAATATACCTCAGCCAGGGGTAGACGTTAAAGATGGCGCCGTACATGGTCATCAGGTCGAACCCCCGGGTGATGTTCCCGACAAAAGCCTTGAACTCCGGATCCTCCCACCCGTAGTGCTTCCCGAACACAAGTCGAAGGATGATGCCGGCGGACGACTTGGTCAGCATGCTTCCCATGGTGCCAATCGGTTTCCCGTCGTGCCTGGCGATCTGGTGGCAAAGATGGCGGGCCTCCTGGGCGATGTCCTCCTCCAGGGTTTGTTTGCCGAGACCGAATTCTTTCAGGGTCTTGAGAACGAACTTTCGGTTCAGCTTGTGAGTTGTGGCGTCGTTGACGAATCCAATCCCTGCAATCAAAAATGTATACATTATTGATTTTATAATATTATATTATATTACTATGTATATTTGTGCTTATAAACCTGCAATTCTCCTCTGGTCTCTCAATCACTGACGAAAGCTAGTGGATACTAGCTCAAACGTCTGACCGTTTCCAACATCATATCCAGTTGCTTGAGTAACTGCTTTTTGGCGTTTTAAGTTATTATTAAGTTTTGTTACTTTTGTTGCAAGGTACTAGGTTTAAATGGCAAACGAGTAACCAGCTCCTTGCATCCACCGCTTTAAATATATCAATTATTCTTATGTTCCACATTTTTGCCAGCCAATCACGTCACTTCTTGCCGGTATGCAGCAACGTGATTGGCTTAACTTTCCCTCCAATAACAGGAAGGGGAGTATCTGATTGGCTGAGGGATAACCAATGCTAAATACAGTAAGAATAGTGGTTTTGCTTGCCCGCATGCCATATTGGTTCAGTCATTGGGTAACATATATTGTATAGATTTGAGGTACTGTGACTAGTAAGACACGTACCCTTGGAGTCTGCGTATTCTTTATAGATGTAGAGATGTGAGGGACGCATGCGGAACTCGTCAGCCTTGTTCACAACGGCCTCCTTAATGGCGTCCCAGCCACACAGTATCACCAAATTGTCCATCCCAATCTATTACACAAACAAACGGACAAAAACAAAATGAGTACTGTGTCGTTGAAGATATTCACAAGTCTCAACCTAGGCTCGTGTTCTCGCGAGACTAGGTCACATCGTGATCAAGACAATTACCTTATGTAGATTTTGAAGTTTTTTTCTACTCTGTTTCAATGTTTTTTATCTTTGTTATTTGCAATTAGCCTTCGGGCAGGAATTTGCAATAAACGTTCATTATCGTGAACGATGCTTACCCTGACAGAGTACACGTCTCCATACTTCTTGCCATATCCTGTGAGGGTCTTGAGGGGGTCCAGAGCGACCTGGTGCATGTTCCCGAGGATCGGTAACCCCCTGGGTCCCGGAGGGAAGTTCCTCGGGCGGAGCAGCCATTGGACGGACAGGAGATGAACCGTGGTCAGAAGAAGCGTCCCCATTGGTCCCACGATGAGGAGGAACCTGGCCAATAGGATGAGGGCGATACCCCCCGCGACGACACTAAACTCGTCATGTAGCATGCTGCAGGGTAGGTACAACAATGGGGAACCGTTAAAAATGTTTCACTTTAGCCAGACTGTTGCCAGGGACGGGGAATCTGGTGGTAACCGTTAGAAATTCTAAACGTTTCACACTAGCCTGGATGCCAGGGCCAGTATACAGGCTACCTCCTTGGCTCCAGGACCTAAGTCTGGATGCCAGACTGTTGCCAGGGCCAGTATACAGCCTAGCATGTCTAGGTCATGAGATATCAAAACCGGACGTTCGCTTGCAGTGCCATAAGGACCCGGTATGTGGTCCAAAATCTAATCATTTCCAGGTCTCACCAAGACCTACCCACCTACCAAATATCAAGTCAATCCATAATATATATGACGGATGTATATATCACCTGTCTTGTCCGTTGTAATTTGTGTACGCAAAATCTTTGCAATTCAGGCAGTTTCATCACTGCTGAAAGGTTTGCTTTTTTGTGTCACGAATAGAAATTAATGAGACATGGTTGTCACCTGGGTAGCTCAGGGGTTCGGATTCTGCCGATCACCTTTCCCCACCAGTTCTGGTTCAGTTCCGAGATCTTTCTGCAGTTGGTTTCCATATTGAAAGGACCGCGACAGTCTGTGGTAAATACACAGACAAATATGTAAATATTGTACAATGAATGCAGTGGAAAATGAAATACATTTTATTAGCCAGTGTCCTAACTATGAGACCGAAAGAAACAGATTATTTCAGACAGTTACAACAATTTCTCCATCCTTTCGTCATTTAGAAGATCACCAAAAAACTGCATTTTTACTAAGATCGCAAAACCCACTAATTGTGAAGAAGGTGGGACTATTCATTATCCACTGCCTTCAAAGAAGAAGTCGAACCCCATAATAGCTAGCGTAGTAGTAGAAGTAGAAGTTCCCCAGACAGTTGTTACCTGTCTCCTGTTGATACTTGATTGTAAAAGCAATTAGCCTTCGGGCATGATTTTGCGAATAAAGTTACAATACACATTCAAATAGTTACGGATGGCAGAACATTTTATTGGAAAAATGCTTGTCCACATCATAAATTAATGATGTTACTTCCTATCATGTAGTTACATAAAAAAAGAGGGCTATTCTATAATTGTACTCATAAATTATGCAAATGAGCTCCTGATTTGAATATTTAGCAAAGTTATGAACGCCAACGAAAACATGACCTTCTTAGCTTGGTGAAGGTGAAGAAAGGTCATACTCGGCAAAAAGCTGACCCAGCCAAACACTGGCATACGGACACATGATTGCATCATTACACATGACGTCAAATGGACTTTAACCCTTCTGTATTTGTCCAGCATGTCTATCAGTGAGATATCGACCAAACGGGTATTTGTGATTCGTGCACACTCCTCCATGGAGTGTTATACCGTCAAAACTTAATCAAGTCTTCCCCAAGGACAAATAAAATCCATGCAAAAATCTGCTAATGCTTCAGTCACATTTACAAACCAGTGGCCTATCGGGTAGTTTCTTTTATTCAGAAAAAAACAGTAGTGAATACAAATAAAAGGACACAGACTATATTATAAGTGGCTGCGCACTCAAGTAGGGCACGAGTTATACATTCTCGCATGCGCGCAGCCACTTTTACAATGAAAAATAAAGGTATTTCACAAGACGTTTGAAAGAGTCTGGAAAATTTTGAAAATTTCGTCAGAAAATTTGAAAATCGCGTATTTTAAGGACTTATATTTCACTTTCGGGCGTGGGACTGCTAGCTAGCAGCTGATGGTCTATTTCTGGGATCGAGCCGGCCCTGGTTATTTCTTCCCCACATCTAAAATTAACCTTTTGAGAAAATACGCTTTATTCAAGCCATGAAATAATTGTAAAAGCATCGACAGCAGGCCCCCGTTGTGGCATCGGTTGGGAACTGAAATGTTACCCACTATGTACAACTTTAAAACGATGCAACTCACTCAGGTTTACATTGGAGATACCAAGCGCTTCTAGCTCTGCTTGACTGTTTCTAACAGTCAATTAGATAATATAGAAGTCCAAATACTACGTAAGTTTTAATGGGCCTAAATTCCCCTCCTAGCTCTGATTGGCGAATGTTTTACCGCCAATGAGATATAGGAGGTTACCATGAAATCTTATCTTTCAAATAGCTCTGTTAGCATTTAATTTAACATTTTAATGTCTTGGGGTGGTGGGACTACGGCGCACAGATATGTCAACTTTGTATATTTAAATGTTAATTGTACCTTTTTTTGTTGTGTGGCGCTGTTAATATCAGTTGTTAACTTGAGTGCAGCGTCACACTGTCCTTGTTATGTTTTGATGTTTTGATGAAAAAAAAGGAAAGCCGGTGATACCGGACATCCTAGCCCGGCCGGCGCCTGCATAAATCGGCTTCAGCGATCTTCTAAAAATGTGGCCATGAAAGTATTTGCGTAATTAACATGCTTCGGCGCAACGTATATAACCAGAAGTCGGCTTGACAAACGGAAGGCTGTCAAATTGCCGTAGGATGTTTATGTTGGAGAGGAAGTTTACACACCAGGTAGTACTACATGCGGTTTCCGTTACTTTTCCGGATCGGATGTACACCGGGGGTGCCAAAGAATTCGTACGAATTTTACGGGATCCATATGCATTTTAGGGAATCCATACGAATTTTACAAAAAAAAACGATTCATTACAAGAAAACTATTTTTTGTCATCTTTTTCTGAAAGGTAGCAATTTTATTTCGCCCCCCTTCAGCTTTGAAAATGTGACGTAATACCAGTAGGTTATCGTCAGAGTGCCTCTTGCCCTATCATTTACCTGTCCTTATTTCTTTAATTTCCAAGTTTAAGTTTAGTTTAAGTTTAAGTTTAGAATTCAAAGGTTTACTACAAATGAGTCGTGCCAAATGTTGCAAAAGTATTGACACCCAGTTGGATATTTACATCTGATTGGAGATTAAATAATTAGTGACATATTTGTCCTTGAAAACGTTCTATTCCGAACATACGGTCAGTTCTACCATGTTCATTTGCTCGAGAACAAAGTACATGTACAAGGACGCCAGGTACAACATTCATTCCACTCCGTCCATACGGTCAGTTTTAACGGAGGACCAGAGTACAAGGACGCTCGGTACAACATTGTCTTACTTTATTGTTTAGATATTTAATTCGCCGTGTAACTTTATATTATCTTGTACCTATTTTGAGTTAATTTGTTTGCTTGTCCCTTAATACATTGCAAGTTAAATGTAAATGTAATAAATGTATGTAAATAAGAGATCGTAAAATTAATAGGATTTGGGAGAGTCCACTAGACAAACCTTCAGGTTTCTTGGGCTCTCCAGCATATATTTGCTTGTATATAATTTCATTTTATACTGTTACTTTACTGTGCAAAATGACAATAAACAAATAAACATTCATTCTACTCCCTCCGTACGGCCAGTTCTAACAAGTTTATTCGCTCTGGGACTAGAGAAATAGAGTACAAAGACACCCAGTACAAAATATATATCATCCATTCTATCCCGACCATACGGTCAGTTCTAACATGTTCATGTGCTTGAGGAGCAAAGTACAAGGACGCTCGATCGGTACAAGAGTCGCTGAATAAAGTGCTACCTTCACCTTAAAAGGTGACCGTTGGCCAACTTCAGCACAATTTGCATAACGGATGTTGTTTACATAGAGAAAACTTAGGGCACCGTGCCATACTTGTTTACAGGTTGTGGCACGTATTCACATCCTGTGTGCTGAAGCTATCGAAGGCCACACCAAGTAAATTTCATAAATGACATTCTCCACAGACTCCAAATCTAATGCGATAGCCCCCCCCCCAAAAAAAAAGAAGATTCCTAATTCTCAAATTTCGACAGCATGAACCTTGTTAAACAAGAAATGATACTTATATTATGCTACGTTTAATTCGAAATATTACAACATTCATTTCTCACTGAAACAACTTTGAAAAATTAAAGTTTTCAACAATTCTACCAATGGTTTTGATTCAGTGGGAACATCACATATACTCAGCAACCATCACATATTAAAGTAATGAAATACATGACTGCACCAAAGTAAAGGACAATACATTAAATCAGAGCCCTGTCTTGTCTCCTCTCTTCATGTTTATTTACAATTCACAGCCCGCGGCATCGCAATAGACATATTTGCCCACTTTGGGCTTGTTGGCCACTGCCAGATGGCAACAAAATGTCTTTTTTTTAAATCAGGCAAAATTGTTTACTTAGTGTTGCCTAATTACTGACGAGCTAGCATCACATATCATTGTCACTTCTAACCTTTATACAGTTTACCAACTAATCTCGTTAATATGAACACAACAGAAGTCGGAGTGACCCAAATGTTTTTGTTGCCCCAAAGCAATTTGTCACCAAAAAATGCCAAAATATCCAAAACAAGAAACAGGTCTCCTGCAGTACCAGGTAAATATGCTAGATGGCCCAAGAACGGCCTTCGCCTTCATTTTCCTACGACCTACAAATGTTACGACCTTACATATCAAAGGTTATCGCAATCTTTGTGCTTGGCTTCTATTTTATCCCTATTATAGGGATAAAAATGGATAATAGGGTAAATGAAATGAAATGAAAATGAAAATAGAACCTAGCAAAATTAAATGGTTGAACCAAAGACTGATTTTAAAAAAATGCCTGTTAGAAAGCCGTTGCTATGCCAACAGGAAAAATCAGAAACTTATCTAATCAATATGAAATTATTGCTAGATGTATTTTTTTAGAGAAGTCACCAAATTTGACGGTTCTAGCGCAAGCCGTTCAGGCGCTATTTGAGATGAAAGTTGGCGCGGGCCTCAAAAA